TTAGAGATGTGATCTAGAACAAATGACAGAGTGGATTGAAGAGAAAATGGATCGTCTGAAGACAAAAGGACGTAGTGGGAAATTGCGGATTTGGCATCCAACTAATGTTGTTTTAATTCCTAAAAGTCCTTTGAGTTGTAATCTTTATTTAACTCATCAATGTATCAATTGCAATCATTCAAGAATTAATCAATCACAACCCTTTGGGATTTCTCTCAATTTTCTAGTGAATTCTAGATTTTATTCTACAAGGGATTACGTTGGTGTTTGGACCCGATTTTAGTTTCTAGGGTCAACAGTTGGTAACCCTTTGTCTACTTCATGCTGCGTCAAGATGGCGAGGAGTGAAGAAAGAACAGTGCGAGGGATGTGGAAGAAATGTAATAAAATAGACACAAAATAAAAACTAAAAACTATATACACGAAATGGTTATCTAACGGACTTCAAAAACTGCATTTTTTGTGCTCAACTCACATGCTGCATAAAGCCGGCCCAAAAGCGAGCTTGGGATCTTTTATACGGATCTTGTGAAAGAAGCTGAGGGCCAGTTTTCCAGATTTCATCAATGTACTCAAGGATGACTAGGGACTCGGCATTCAGTTTGAGAAGCAATGAGCTTTTGTTCCTCAAATCTTCTTCAACGTATTCGTAGGGTATGCCTTTGAGTATGAGAGCAAAAACCACCCTCTTAACAAAAGGGCTTGCCCACATTCCATATAAGGTCACTTTGTTTTCCTCTGCCATCTCTCTCTCTCTCTCTCTCTCTCTCTCTCTCTCTCTCTCTCTCTCTCTCACATCTTGAGTTCATGCTACTACTGGAAGCAGCTTGATATAGAGTTCATAGGAAAAGCTTGCCTGACAAGCTTTGCATATAAAATTACAAGTCAAGAGTATTTTAATCAACAAACACAAGTGGTTGCACAATTTTCTTTATCCTGACATTATCATATCATATTATATTGGATAAGGGGTGTGCTATCCACACACCCCAAATTACTTCTCACACACCCTTGTTAATTTCTATCCGTTGATCTTCTTTAATTCATCCGATCCGACGGCCGAAAATTAGAAGGGTGTGTGAGAAGTAAAATGGGGTGTGTGGATATCACACCCCTTGGATAATTGATTCTATTTTATCATCTCCAACGGAGATGGTGTTAGTTTACTCAGCAGATAAAGTGATTATTTGAGTAAACTGTCGATTGCTCCCTAAACTTTCATCTAGCTTTCGATTACCCCCTGAACTTTTCGATTGGAAAATTAAGGACTCAAACTAATTTTTTTTAGCCAATTTGCCCCCTACTGTTAGTTTTTCAAACATTCCATCCATATTTTTGTTAAGTGAGACCATGTGCACATGTAAGGGTAATTAAGTCATTTCATTCTTAAAAATGATTAAAAAACTGAAAATAAATTTTTTTTTTAAATTCCCTCTATTTTTTCCCTCTAATTCCTATTCTCAATTTTATTTTTCACTCATTCCTATGCATGAGGAATGACATACGGTGTTATTGTCTTCAAAAGTATCTAAGTTAGTCTTTTTCTTGAAGCATGTAGTACCATTTTTATTTTCTTTAACAAATTAATAATTTGACAAATGCTCATGGTGTTAAATGTGCAAGAATGCAATTGAAATATCCATCATTTGATTCTAGGTTGAGTTGTGCACTTTCTTCTCTGTTATAGTAATTAATTTATTATTTGAAAATATTGTATTTTGAGGAGCCAAGCAAAGCTTTGTGGAACTGCGTGGGTATGATATGCTCTTTTTTTTTTTTTTTTTTTTTTTGTGATTTGGTTGGATACTATTGCTAGAAAATTGGAGGAATAGTTAGGATTAGTGTAGTTAGCTGATCTTTGGAGTTTTGATGCTGGTGATTGAAGTAGTTTTTTTCTTTGACTTGTTGTAGTTTTTACTAGATGGCGGATATGTTAACTGCTGGAAACTATTTTTATAACTCTTCTAACTCTTCTAACTCTTCTACTAGTAAAGTCTTAATGTCTCTAAAATGAAACACAACACGTAACATGCTTATATTAATGCACTGCTTTGGAGACAATAACACCATGAGCATTTGTCAAATTATTAATTTGTTAAAGAAAATAAAAATGGTACTACATGCTTCAAGAAAAAGACTAACTTAGATACTTTTGAAGACAATAACACCGTATGTCATTCCTCATGCATAGGAATGAGTGAAAAATAAAATTGAGAATAGGAATTAGAGGGAAAAAATAGAGGGAATTTAAAAAAAAAATTTATTTTCAGTTTTTTAATCATTTTTAAGAATGAAATGACTTAATTACCCTTACATGTGCACATGGTCTCACTTAACAAAAATATGGATGGAATGTTTGAAAAACTAACAGTAGGGGGCAAATTGGCTAAAAAAATTAGTTTGAGTCCTTAATTTTCCAATCGAAAAGTTTAGGGGGGAAATCGAAAACTAGGTGAAAGTTTATGGGGCAAAATCGATAGTTTACTCTAATTATTTATATTTTTAGAGCATTGAACTCCACACTTCACAGTTTATCAAAGATTCTTTTAGTGTGACGGTGTGAGTGACAGAGCTAGAAAAAATTTCTAATAGGAGCAACTATTGTAGCCAGTTTTAATCAAATTTTTATGTTAATTACATTGACAATTTATTTGATTGAGTAGCAATAAATTAAGGTTTGCTCAAAACAACATTTTTCACACTCACACAAAACTATATATACGCATTTAATTCATTTGTTAGGCGAATACGAGGAATATTAGTGTATTTTTAATAAATATATGGAATTTTCAAGTCAGGAAAGTTGAGTGGAAGCAGCTGCCCCAGTGGGCACAAGCTGCCTCCGTCCATGAATAAGATGATCATCACGCAATGATACAAATCTGCTTCCTTATATTGTCTAGCAGGCAATGCATATAGGATGTCAAGCTGCAGAAGATTTCAGGACACTCTCTCCAAAAAATGACTTGATCAAGGCCACCATTTTTTCTTAAGGAATATCAAATATGCGTCTCTTTCACCACCACAGGTTCCTCAATCGGAGCGCTATTAGGTAGATAACGTCTTTTAGACCTCGTAAATCATAATATAACACGTGAACTAGTAACATTGTGTGATATTGTGACTGTCATGCTCAAAAATTTCTTCATCCGCATTTACGACATACCTGCTTTCCTTTCTTTATCTTTCTCCACCACATTATGCAAAGAGAGAATTATTAGCTTTTCAAGCAAAGTTTATAGCACAGAACAAATGTAACTTGTGGGAGTTTTACCGTTGAAATCATGGCATAATAATATGCAAGGACTTCCACATCAAGCATATGAACCAAATTTTCAGAAGATGCAAATTTTGGCAATAATTCCTTGTACTACTACTACTAGGCAGCTGCCACCACTGATGAATGAGCTGCAAAATTCTTCAACTAGGGTCCATATTTCCCTCTCAAACCATAATGTCATATGTTGTTGTATGGACAACTATTAGGCTTCTAATCAATATTTATTCTTTCTTTTAAGATAAGATTTTAGAATTGTAGGACGTGTTAATAGCCTATTCGGATATCATGTTAGAATGTGAGCATCCAATTTCAAAACTTCTCATTTGAACCAGAATTTGAAACCAAACTTCTCGAGAATCCGTACAATCATTGTATGAACAACCATCTCTCAAGCACTAGTTTAGGTTCGGCCTCAAAGAAAAAAAAAAAAAAAAACGGAGCACCTGATGTGCTTCACATGCCAATATTTTGAGATTGCCCCTTTCATTATGGGGTGACATACGGATTTTACCATTCGAGCTTTCTGAAATGCAATCGATAGGATTTTTTTTAATATTGACAATGCATGGATAGACAGGTAAATACTCTTAACTACTTGAATTACAAGCCCTTATGTGCAGAAAGACTTAAGATCATATAACTATTTTGTAGGCGTTAACTCCTGGATGCGGAATTCATACTCTCAACATTGGACCAAAATCTTGTTTATGCGGCATTTTACTTGTCAAACCTAGTTGAAAGGGAGGGAAGAGAGAATGGGATCCACCTTTAGTTGTAAGATAGTTACAGAATTGAATGTTGCCACCCAACTTGCTATGTTGATAATCCTTTACGGTCCATCCTTCTAATTAATCATATCAAAATCACAAGGGAAACAAAATACGACATCTCAACAGAAGATACTCGGCTCGTTACATGTAAGGAGGTATTCTTTCAGTAAGTAGCTTCAGCTACGGCTGACTTGTTGCCAAGACAAAAGCCGTAAGTTATGATTTTTCTCTCAATAATGTGCCCATGTCGGGCTGCAAAGAAAGTTTTAGGGCTTCTGACGAACGAATGCTAGCACTTTCTGAAGCATGGCCTCCAGTTGTAAGGCCTTTTAAGGTGCATTTATTGCATTTGACTATCTTTAGTCGAGGTAAGTTTCTTCTAATTTCATTAAAGTTAGACTCTGCAAGTAACAAGCACAAGACTACACGAACTCTTAGTCCAGTCTAGTCTAGTCTAGTCTAGTCTAGTCCAGTGAGAGCTAATGAAGACAAACAAATGCTCCCTTAGTTTCTAATTTGAGATATTTTGCAGAATACTTGCCAAAGCAGCTGCTGTTAAAGTCGTTTTTAAAAAAGCTGCTTCTGTTAAAAGTCGTTAAGAAGCTCCAAAACATGAATGGCACATTGGCCAGCCACTTGCAAATTAGAAAACAAGATAAAATCACAACTAAAAAGGTGTGGAAAATGGCCCTGGAAAGTGTGGAATCTCTGTTCTCAATGTTTTTGGGGTATTTTGTCTTTGAATGACATGAGGATATTTTAAGAAAATGTTGTTCTTTTATGAGATAACCCAACTAAAAAGGTGTGGAACACGGACGTCGTCCCCAACTTAATCGTATGCGCAGTTCACCAGACGGGAGATTATAGTTGTATTTTAGTTTGCCAAGTTTCCGACCTGGGACTTTACATTCTTCAACGGAAATAGCGAGACTGTATATTTGACCTATTGGTAAGGTTTCTAAATTGAATTCATGCATTCAACTAGTAGAAATGAAATACATGAGCAAGATAAAATCAGAAAGTGAAGTTCATGATAAATTTGGAACAATTTTCTCAAAGAATTATTTTACCAGTTTCAAATGGTAACTTTCCCTAATTACATTGAAGATTCCAATTGCCAATCGTTGTTGGAGCCGGTGTAAGACCTTTTACCGCCATTTTCTCCATGCCGGTGTCACTGGACTCATCCCTGGTGGCAGGTCATAGGCTCTCAATCTCGAACAAATCAGAACTAGCATCACTCTCGGCATCTTCATTCATCACTGGAGCTTTTGGAATGGCATCCGAAGTTAGCATGGACGATCTCCTCTCTGAATTTATTGCGACATTGTCTTCCTTCATCCTTTGGGATCCAAACACCTCGAGCAATTTCCGGGGACCTTCTTGTTCTTTCATTTTCTTCTCTTCCAACTGTGATTTACCTGACAATTTCTGCGCACCGGAGTTCAGATTTGCCAATGCGGAATGCTCTTCCTTGTTTGACCTTTCAAAGCTGGAGTAGTACACCTCATCTCTTGCCTTAAATCTTGGTTGAGGCTGCTTAGCAGGATTGTGATCAATATTCCCAACGTTTTGCTTCCTAAAATCTTTATCGCCGTGACCTCCATGCCCGGCATTCATCTCATGAACAGATATGGATTTCTTATCTGAGCAAGATCCATTGCAGCTAAAACTCGAAAAGATATTGATCTTTCCATTTACCTTTTTTTTCTTGCTCTGAGACGGGGTCCTCATCCAAGATAACAAGCCGCTTTGGCTGTTCCAACTCGCTTCAGAACAAGTACTCGGAGTTCCTGGCCTGCTCTTTGGTTGCTTGTGCTGCTGACCACCCCTATTTTCTTTCTTCTTCTGCCCAAATTTGCTTGTGTCATAGTCCACAAGTCGTGGACCGTCATCTTCCACCATCATGCTGAAATATTTCTCCGCACCAAAGACGCCGGTTTCACCCTCAGTCTTCGTGGCAGGAGGGGGATTCGGAATATGAACTGATCCTGCAAACTTGACTACAAAGTTACCTTCTGCCCTTCTGAGGTAAGAAGAAAATGAAGCGTCCTGAGTACGAGTACCGTTGTTGGCTTCTCTTTCCATGGCTTCTACTGAAGCTTGATTCTTTGAGTATGTTTAAATTTAACAAAGGGAGAAAGCACAAAATTAGAAAAGGAATTTTGGAAAGACAAGGAGCTTTTGGAGGGTTGGAGATTGACGGGCTTCTTGAGAACCAGTTCCTACAGGTAGGCTTGTGGGAAGGTCCTACATTCTTGGGGCTTGATTGCAACCATTCCACCTTCCCTTTCCCTCATCACATATAAGTGCCGTGTACTCTTCAGTTTGCACTAAATAGTACGTGGGAGAAGGACTTCCATGCAACAAAGAGATGCTATTTTGTTACGATCCGAAGCCAATTACTGACTGGCCATATGAAAAAGTTAAAACACAATAGTGCATGACTGACTTGAAATAACGTCACAACGATGTCCCGATAAGTTTAACATTGTCAAGGGGTTTGCATTTTATACAGATAAGTTAAGCTAATTTGTATTTAGCACACTTGAAATTCAAGAACACTGTCAATTACCTTACTCCATACTTTGTATTAAAAATTAAATTAATAATAAAATTGAATTAAATCATTAGTTAATCAAGTTACAAAAGAGAAGAAAAACTAAACATTAACTTAAAAAGAAAATGCTGTAGAACTTGAACATTTTAGGACCAAGAAAATGAAAAAATCACTTAATTACTTAAAGAAGAGGGGTGAGAACAGGGCAATCAACAAAAATGCTATAGGAGACGCGCCCCTTCTGCTTCTTATTCATTCCGACGTTGTAGATTTGTCTTCACCGGCAACCCAGTACCGTTTAACCGCAAACAATACCTTTTCAGGAACAAGAGGGCCGTCTTCATGGTCCACCATTTTCGTGTTCCATCTCATTCCTCTCACAAGTTTGCTCACCTTGACTAGCACATCCATGTGATCACGAAATATCACTGCTCCTTCAGGCCGTAGAATGCGATCCATCTCCAAAAGAATGTCTTCAGCATTGCACCTGCATTGGCCTTTATTAGTTTGATTGATTGGAGAAACACCATTTGCAATCAATAGTAACAAGCAGGGTCAAAAACGACGCACTTATCCTTGTACAAGCTGAAAACACCGTTTGCATGAATAAGGTCATATGTCCTTGGATACGTGGAGAAGGCTTCACACCTGGAGGAAGATAAAAAGATTATCAAGCAGAATAGCATGTCAAGAAAACGTAATTTACGAAGGCCAAGAGCATGACTCTGGATGAATGATTGGTTTTAAGCAGCAAGACAGATGTTATTTTACGTCCTAATCCTCAGCATATTTAAAATCCAGTTTGAGAACATTATTGTCGCAGAGAAGAACAAACAGAAAAGAAATGTTTGAGAATTACCAATCATGGTAAATGCCAATCAATCCACGTTCAAATACAACTCCCAACGTGTCTTTCTCAGCTATTGTAGGCATAACATTCATAACCCACAATTTAGGAGAGTCGAGAGCAGCAGCAAAACTTCCCAGACCGGCATTCATATCCATAATGTTGCGGTACCTTCCAGTGTCCATTAACTTGTTGGTCCTCTTATAAGCATTTACGTGTTTCTTCCATGCCTTATTGTCCTCCTGGAATGTCTCAGCAGATACATCCGGGACAGAATCACTAGATATTCTGAAAGGTAAAGCATTAAGCCTCTCCGGGAATGGAATCCATGGCCCACCAGCATCCTCATTGGCATCAGAAGTCTCAGGATAAGGAGTTACACACAACTCCATCTTCTGGTACCTACGAAACAGAAAAAGGTTAAATACTGCTTTGGAAATGGCAAAAAAAGCTCAAAGTAAACTGATAGCCAATAAATGTTCAACAAAATTGTAAAAGAGTCAGTAGATCAAATAAAGTGACATACCAAACATCATCGGCATTATTGGATTCACACATATTCGGTTGCGGATCTTGGTCACGACGATACTCAGAAGTTGTTAGTTTCCTCCAGATGGCAATTTCACCCTTCTCATGCTTCTTTTCCCAGTTGAGAAGTTTCGCAACCTCTTCAATCTTCCTCTGTTCTTCCTCAAGTTCTTCTTTAGGGCGCTGCCACGCTACATAATTATTCCTCCAGTTAATAGGAGGACCCGAAAGCACCCAGTAACCACCAGGTCTTAGAACCCGGTCAACTTCCATCATGTACATTCCATCTGCAGAATAAGTCCAAGGATGATTTCACGTCATAAATGATATCCTTACCTAAAAGTTATGAAAGCTTGCCTTTTTTCCAAAAAGAAAATGAGGAAAGAAAATCACTTAAACTTCATAAAACGTAAAGCAATATCAGTGGCTAATTTATAAGCATCACCATTTGCACCCCACGGTATCAGGCAACGAGAGCAGTGAGCCATGTCAAAGGCCCTAGAAGGGTAAGGCAGCTTTATAGTTCCGAGGACTCCAATAACTGCCGGAACACCTCTTTCCAGAGCAAATTGAACTTGTGCTTCATGAGAGTCTCTTGGTGCGAATGACATTGCTATAACATTTTTCTTAAATAGGTAGGCACCCCAGCTGGCAACCTATGAAGCATGAACCAACATGGTCGATAAATCAAATTCTAAGACAACGTGCAATAACTGCTAGGTGTTTGAAAATTGGGTTGTAAGTTTCAACGAGGGACAAGAGTACGGATGTGTTTGAGAATAGCAGTATTTACGGTCAAGACATTAAAAAGGAGCGGAAAAATGAAAAAAAAAGAAATTAAAATTACCCCACATCCAGTGTCCAATGCAGTTCTAACCATCCCATTGTCCATTGGGATCACAGCTGCAAGTTCATTGATATATGCATCTGCTCCATGAGGAAACTGTGTTCCACCACCAGGAAACCTAAACACGTTACCCTCGTACTGAATCCAGTTCTGAACAGCCTTCTCAACTGTCAGGCTTTTATAGGGAGCATTGGCATAAGGTACATAGTCACGGCTTTGGGGCCATCGAAATGGAGTCACATAGCCTTTGGGTGCCGGAATAAGGCAATGTAGCTTCTCTTCTTCAGGCGGACAATGTCTTTCCCTGTAATTCATACTTTCTCGGGGGAAAGTCATTGCTCGCATTTGATCTTGGCAGGGAGTGTAATCAATATAGCGATTTCCGCATGATTTGAACTCCTTGACAACTCCTTCAGAATCGTCAATCCCACCACGATGGGTCTCATAATTCAGATTGGATAGGATACTGCAGTCTGTCTGTCTGGTAATCTCCACAGCTATGCTATCTCCCTTCCCAAAACCACTTCGCTGCCACGCACCCAATATGTAAAAGAAACAACACAGGCCAGCTACAATGACAATTGACATGGAGCTTCGACTCCTGTTATCTCCTGAGTTCCCTTTTGTCGCCATGATGTGCCTGAATGTATTTTGGGATTCCCGAAACCAATTAGGACATTTTCCAAATAAAAGAAAATAAATATAGGGTAGATCCTTAAATGTCTGAAAATGCAGCAAGTATGTTCCATATTCTATCCAAACTCCACAACTACTTGACTACCTTGATGAGTTGATGTCAAAAACAAATCAAATTTTCGAAAATTTATTATTTGGAACCTCGAAGCTCAATTCCCCGCGAAACAAATTACACATTGTTCGAAACACAAATCATTGAATCGTATAATTGCAATTCCACTGTTTCATATGTTCCCCATTTTCTTTTTCTTCTTAGGTAAAGTCTCACAAACTCGAAAAATCGAAACTAACCAACAATTTGTCAATCACAGTTATTCCAAGAAAATCAAGAACAAAGCACACCACAGCAAAGCGGGATTCAAACAAACTAATAAAACTACCAATTAAATCCCATAAAATAAAATAATCAGAAAAAAATGCAGCATGCGTAAAGAACACAGAACTCATATCCAAATCAAAAGGATCGAGAGCTCTTACGGATCTCAGGGAGCGAAAAGCACGAATCTTTTTCGGGTCGGATCAAATCAAACGCATCTTTCACCTCCAGCAATCCGTAACCCACGACACAGACGGAGACATCCAAGAAAAAACAAACGACAAAACAAAAAAGACGACAACTTTATGAGAGGAAATGCGGCAGAAATCGTGGGCAGCGGCTAAAATTCTGACACGAATTTGATTTCGGAGGCGGGGCGAGCGGCTCTGCCGTTGTTCTTCTTTCGTTGTTTAACTGGAAAGACAAGGTACGATGAGGCCGAGGATGCTTTTGTTGTTCTTCCGTGTGTTTGCACGCACTGTTTCAATTCAGTTCTTTTTTTTCTTTTTGGTCGGGGGAACACTGTTTCAATTGAAGTAAGTGACTTTAAGATCGCATGTTTATAATTTTTAGTTACAACGGAAACATAGGTAGTATATGTTTTTATATAAGTGATATAAAATTTTAATTTTTAAATTATTAATATTTTAATACATATATTCTACTATTTATATAAAGATACATAATGTATCACCTCGTGTGACAATTACATTGAAAACTATCCCGCATCGGATCGGAGGGTTGATGATGCTTCCACCGAATCTTAGTTCCCAATCGGTTGGGTCCCGCGGCCACAGGAAAAACATGAGGGGTTGTGTTGGGGAACGACGTCGTTTAAGGGTAAAATAGCACACAAATTTTGGGCCAAAGATGATGGCTTTGCTTTTTGGTGAAAGGGTAAATTTGAAAAGGTACCATATGTTTAGGTAAATTTGGTGGAAGTCCGGTGTGAGAATTACGTCGTCTGTATACCCACACACGATTAAAAGGTATTGAGATGAAAGTAAGCTCATGGTGGGACCCTATTACAAGAAGATTAAATGTATAAATGACACGATCTGTTCGACCGTGAGTCACAGAGTAAATTATAAGTTCCAACCTTAACGAGCATTTTCGAGAACTAGCTTGCTTTCTATTTCCCATTACTCAAAAGGGAAATTGTCCTCATGTGGAATCGATTTTTTTTTTTTTAAATTGTAACCCTCGAAACCAATCAAAATACGGATGGGATCAAAAAGATCATCATTGGGGCAAACGATGCAATAGCTTCGGTTAAAGCAAGGCCCAAAATGGCATAACCAAATGATTGTTTAGCCGATGATAGATTTCAGGCCATGGCCGAAATGGATCAAAGAACTGAACACGTTTCCAATGCTCTTATAGACATGTATGCAAAATACGGGAGCATGACCCGAGCTAAAGTTGTGTTTGATAAGGAAGCGCTTCTTGCTTTCCAGAGAGTGTGTGCTGGGAAAGTTGAACCGAACTCTGTTGCATTCATCGGTGTTCTACCAGCGTGCGATCGTGTTGGTTTGTTTGACGAAGGTCTGTGCAAGTCTTACCATATCAAGCTCACAATTGAGCACTGTGGATGCGTGATTGATATGTATGCAGGAGCAGGAAGGCTAGAGGAGGCCTGCAAGTTTGTGAAAAGTAAGCCTGTAGAACCAAATGCAGTTGTTTGGAGGCTGTTGATAAGTGCGTGTAGAGTTCATGGCGATTTCGATGGGGAATTATGTTTGTTAAGTGGGTTCACAGAACTAAAAACACCGCGTGGTGCCGAAGGTCATGTTGCTTCTTCCAACATTCTTGCTGATGCAGGGGGATAGTTATTGAGCAGTTACAGTTTGCAGCAGGACAGACTTGGATTCCTCCTCTCATGGCAGTACCTTCAACAGATCACATGAAAATCCAATTTTCGGGACTATTTCAGCCGCAACTAAACTCATATGCGGATTATTCTAGGGCGACGACTACACCTGTTTGAGTAGAGGGAATTCAACCATTCAAAATTCTCGAAAAAAATTCTCGAAAATGGATTACAAGCAACGAAAAGGGAAGATTGTAATATAGCTAATGGTGTTCTGAAACTTGTATATTTCATTCAACACCTTTGTTCTTTTTATCGTTCCAAAACAACAGACGTTGGAGCAAAGTAAAAATGAAACCGCAAAACTGCCCTCAATGGAAATCCAGAAAACATTCTCCATCATCATCAAGCGTACCTCCACTTACAGGTGTCCCTTGCGAAAACATCCCATTTGAAGCAGTTTCCAATTGATTGTCCACCATAAAATGTTTCAATTCATCGCTGACATGCTGCACCCTCCCGGTTATCCCCAAGCACAAGCCTTTTGTTAGGGTCTTGTTTGCCTTTCTACCTTGAATAGGCTTCTTACTAGGGCCCGGATCCACAAAGACTGGTTGTACTTTAAGAGAAGGGTTTGGTTTGATGCGGTTTACTTCCTTTTCATCTTGGGGCCTCAATATTCTGCTTTCTGATTCTACTTCAGAAGCTTCATCTTCATTTACAAGGACCTGCGGAACACAAAATATGGGATGGGCAAAATGCACGTTTAGGAAAATGCGGTTTAAAGCTGCAAAAGCAACATGCAAGTATACAACAAATAATCTCATAAGAAAAGTTTTACAACAACAAACCGTACTCATACAAGCACACAATCAGTGAAGTTATAATTACCTTGCGACCAACCAAGTCAAAAGATACAACTACTTTACTTCGTTTGATCCGCTCAGCTTCTGCAATCTCCTCCTGCTTCTTTGTCAGAAGTTCCTTTTCCTGGAAGTAATAAAAAAAGGATTAGGGATGGAGATGTGAGTTAATTTAACATACAAACATGCACAAATTTTATTCATATTATGTTTTCCAAAAATGGAGCGAGAAATTACGAACCTCCTTTGACAACCAACTATTCCCCTCAATTTCATAGTAGTCACTCTGGTCATCAATAACTGTAGTACGTGCTGCAGAGTCTCGGTCATACTCAACGAGTCTCTTTGCATAAGCTTCTGCTACTGCTTCAGCATCTGATGTGGGAGCAAAACTTTCCTCCAAACCAGCATACGTGCTGCCTTCCTTCAGCACAAGAGCTCCACAAAAATTGCAAGGCCCCTCGCCCTCTTGCTCACAGACTATCTTCCCGCAAGATAAACAATTGCTCACAAGACTGTGGCGACGGGCTTGGCATGAGCATGGCTTCCCCTGGTTGAATACAATTGATCCTTTGGCAGCCTCAGCAAGTGAAACGACTTTCCCAGCTTTCTTCTTCTTAGAATTACCTTGGTTTGTATTATTTGAACTTGAAAGCTGCTTCACCTGATTGCTGGAAGCTGCTTGATCACTGGGGACTTTAGCCACTTTTGGTGTATTTAACGGTTTCTTGGTTCCACTTGCAGAACCTTCATTTGAAGGTGGTTTAACATAGGCATGCAAACTTGAGGTTGAAACAACCGGGGTGCTGCTGCAAAGATCTGAGCGACCCCGTTTCTGCAAATATTCCTCAATCACAAATTTGCCAACCTCCTCCCCGATTATGTTCTGCATAGAAGACAAGCAATCTTAAATACCAACATACAAACATATACATCCGCGGTTCTAGAAGTAAAGGAACTACACAAACAATCATCTCTTTCTTCAATTCAGTAACACTGCAATATTCCATCACACCACCTAATAACCTTTACCTAGTAACTCGGATACGGTATCTCAATCAACAGCCATAAAAGTTCCGTTGAATCTCCAACCAAACTGCATACACTCTCAAATAGACGAAAGATATACCCTAGTATTCGTCTCGAGTCCAGTCCACAACAAGAACCCCATAAGACAAAAGGAAAAACTCAATTGTTCTAGTACAAGTTGTTTGCCAAAATTCAAATGTACTCCAATAAAACACCAAAAAAATTACTAATTTGAATTGCCCAAAACAAAATGGAAGCTTTCTCATTGGATCCCAATTGGTGCCTCTCAAGTCTCAACCCCAATTTGCAATCAACAATTGGGTTTTAAAATACCCATAAATCCAACAGCAGTATAAACATTTTCACTGAATTTTACACAAATCCTAAGAATTTGCACAAAACTGTAACCCAAGAACACAATTAATTGGAGAAAAAAAAAAGTAAGAAATTGGGCTCACGTCGAGGTATTCTTTGGCGTCTTGAGGATCGGCGAGCTCACAGTAGGAGACCAAACCCGATATCATATCCTTATCCAAACCCCCCGTTTCCATCTTCCCGCAAAGATCCACCAACGCCTTCTCCAGCCATTCTCCCGCTGCTCCCATTCTCTCTCTCTCTCTCTCTCTCTCCCCCACAGTTTTGAGCTTTCTCTCCGTTTTAGACGATCGGAGACGACGAGCCTGGTTTTTGGGTCTGGCAGCGAAGGGGTTTTTGGTGATAGTATAGTGCGCTCATTCACGAGGCCTCATGCGGTCTATCTCACTGATCTTGCCAAGTCAGAAAGGGAAGCGTACAATGGGACCAGAAAGAACAACTTATACGATTACCGTCAAATGATTTCTCGTGTCATTAATATAATTTCATGTAAACAAAAACTACTCATTAAGGTGGAAAAAAAAAATATATATATATATATATATATATATATATCCTGAAACCGTACTGATTTCGAAAATTCAGTATGGGAATCGGTCTCACATTTGCATTCGTTCGGAAATCCCAAACCTAATCAAAATAAAATATTATATATATTATTTAATTTTAAATATATATTTGAAATATAACAACCATCAGATTTGGTTGAGATTTACTCTCAACCGTTGAACCAAATAAACCCTAACTCATACTCAGACTCAATCACTCGCTTTCAGTCTCTCTCAACCTCATCTCACCTCAGTGACCTCACCGGCTCACCCTACTCCTCATCCTCGACCTCACCCAGTCACCCTCACTCAGTCACTCTTTCAACCTCACCTCACTCTTTCGACCTCACCTCACCTTGTTGGAAAATCACTTGTTTTGGAATTGCCCCGATGCGAGTTCGTATTGTTGGAAGTTTTGAGACTCTTGTCCCACATTGGTGAAAACAAGATTCCCAAGTACCTTTATATATGTTTTGTCTTCTACAATATTAGTTATGTGTTGGACCACTTGGAATGGGAATTGAGGCTTGGGCAACCATTTATGTGGATTGGGCTTGATGATTATACCATAATATTAATATAAATTAATATTAATTAATCAAGACAAGGGCCTTGGGCCTTGGGGCCTAAGAATTAAAATTAATCTGATCAATTAGTTTTAATTTCGAATTAAGTTTTTAATTAAATTAATTAAAAACGTTTTGATTAAAGATACAACCTTTTGTAGAGAGTTGTAAAGCTTCAGATACATCCAAAAGGTATTTGAAGAGGTATGAAAGAGCCTATATAACTTGAGTCCTCAGTTCATCATCAATCATCTTTTCTACTTCCTTTTATTCCGTACAAACTTTCCAGAGAGAGTAAACACACAAAGCAATTCGCTAGAATTCTATAATCCAATGCGGGTTGTAGGATTAGGTAGTTGTATCCTGATCGAGCAGACGTTATAGAACCACAAGCACAATAGTGGGACGGAATTACTGTTCGAAGGACATAGCTTTTACGCTAGCCTCTACCTTCTGTAATCAAGTTAGTACTATTGATATTCTTATATTAATTTATGTATTTATTGTATACTTTTCATTATGTACAGCAAGTACTTTTTGCGAAATAAAATTGTGAATTTCAAATTCTGTTTATTTTTGTTATATTGTTTATTTCTGAATTGTTCTCTAACACGTACATCACTATATTGTATAACCCTCGATTCCTATTTCAGTTTCTCTTCTTTGAGGCCCTTTTTGGCTTTTCAAATTTTTACAATTTTTTATATGTCAATTAATTTTTTTTCCAGGTTTCCAGAGGCTGCCGTGCTGAAATTCGCTGCTAAGGAATTCAAAGTATGTAATTTTCTAATTGATTATTTGAGCATTATCGAAAAATTTGGATTGGTTGTGTTCGCGTCAGGAATTTCCGTCGGGGATGTTTCCTGGCCGACGAGCACACAGCTCCCCTGGAGGTTGGCGCCGGTTGAGGGCTGCTGTCGGGCTTCTACTTCACTGTCGGGCGTTGTCGGGCAAGTCTCGTCGGGCAAGACTTTTCAGGCAAGGCTCGTCGGGCAAGGCTGAAAGAGAAGGACAGAGTTAACTTTAAGATGTGCCTTTATGGGGCCTTAGGTGTAAGCCTTGAGGCTCACAATCAAGGTTAACTTTTAGGTGCTCAGGCGTGCCACTGCCATCTTTAGCATGGTAGATGTAAAATGGATGTCGCGTTTTAGTTGTATATATGTATATATCCAAGAAACCGTGTTAGTTATAACAGGTGCCTTTGTGGGGCCTTAGGTGTAGGCCTTGAGGCTTCCCATCAATAACTAAACCAGTGCTCGAACACATCATATTTGTTCTCGTGATTGCCGGAGTTTTCTAACTATTATACTTCTGATTACCCGAGTCCAAGATGTAGAATGAACCCAAATAGGTGCCTTTGTGGGGCCTTAGGTGTAGGCCTTGAGGCTTCCCATCAGAGTTCGTTCTTATACTCAAACTCTCTAGATCGCAGAACGGAATGAATCCAAATGGATGCCTTTGTGGGGCCTTAGGTGTAGGCCTTGAGGCTTTCCATCAGAATCCATTCTATGCTCAAGCGTTCTATGGTAATCATAATATAATAGAAATAAAACTAGAGGGTAGGTCGATTACTTGCGCCCCAAGTAACTTCGGACTTCTCGTTTATCAAGGACTGTCGTGGATGGGTTAAGTCCACATAAGGTTCTTTTTTATGCCTTGAGGCCAAGGACTTTTAACTGATCAGATTTACATGCCCGAGGGCTTAGGACTTGGATCTGGTTTGAACACTGAAGATATATTCAAATCGGATTCAAGTACTGAGAAAGCCTTTTAATAGTCATATTGCTAGAAATAACTTGCATATAACTGGAAGTATACAACATATTGTTAGACTTAATGAATGCAAAGACAAAAACAAAGCAAAGAAGGTCGGGCAAGGTTAAACCTTATCAGGTAAGGCTGCTCGTCTTGTATGTTCCTATCTTTGTAGTTTTGTCAAGGGTCTGAAAGCTTAGAGGGATAGAGAGAGAGATTACAAAAGATGAATCGATACTACAGCAGGGTTGAACAAGGTAGCAGAGCTATTACAAAGGTTTGAAGGGAGGGTTATCCCGCGAGGGATGAAGGCTGACTACAGCTTTGTTTTGAAGGCAAATATGGCTTTGAGCAGAGTTTGTGCTTGCATTTGTTTGTTTGATTGAGTGTCCTTAATCCTTGTGCATCTGCTCCTTTTTATAGAGGTCTGGATGAAACCCTCCTGCTGAGTTTTTGTACTTGCCCGAAATAAGCTTGGGCAGCTTGCATTTCTTTACTTGGGTAGCTTGCATTGCTTTTGCCAACTTGCATGTAGAAACAATATTAAAAGGGGAAATTGCATCTCCACCACATGTTTTTAGCACATGTTTTCCCACTTGTAATAAACTAACATTTAAAAGAAGCAAGTTGGCTTCTTTACCATATGCATTTTCCCACTTGCAATAAAATAATTAAAAGAAGCAAACTAGCTTATTTCATTACACATTCTTGCCCGAAAGCTCTCCCATCCACTTGCAATACATGCATGTATCTTGATTAAACAAAGGCTTGACAAACCTCCACCACCCAAGCAAATGGGAAAAACAATATTATAGTGTTAAACCCATCCACTTGCAACCAAATATCTTTCCAAGTTAGCTTTCTTGCATATTAATCCTTCAAATACCATATTTTACCCAAATTGCCCAAATAAGTAGAAATGGGTATATTTTGAGTGCAAACAGGTTGGTTGTCTTTATTGGGCATTGATCAGATTTGGGTTCTTGGTTTCTGTGAAGGGGAAATCCTTTTTTATATTTGAAACATATGATCTACAATAGGCTGGGTTATTTAGTGGTTGTTAGCACTTTGATTGGGACGATCTGGATGAACCAATTGCCAAGAATATGTTACCGCAATAGCTTTAAATTGTTTGGTTTATCAATTTGTAGGTGACAAATAAGCTTCTTAATGTGTTTGGAGTTATAGGATATGAGGGCAGCTAAATTATGGGAGGTGGTGGTTCATAACCATGATCAACAGATTGTTAGGTCATAAAGAGATGGGTTATGGGTTGCAGGTGAGCTATAAATGGAGAGGTCGAGTTTTGACTCTTGTGAAGGCAGATGATAGTTCATAACTCTCAAGCTAGGCAATTCAGTTGTAAATCTTATTTCATTTAGCCAAATCTGCGTTGAGGAGAGATTAAACCAAAGATTAATCCGAGGCTTAGAAATAATTTTGGGATTCTCGATTTGTTCCGAAATCCTGAAACTATTTCGCGATTCCCGAAAATTTGGTTTGGGATCATAATTGAAATTGGGATTCCCGAAAACTTCGGTTTGGGAATCGGGACAAAGGTTTCGGTTCGGTATCCTATACCAAAACAGCCCATATCTTTATTTTGTTATATTAAATGTCGCTGTAACAGTGTATCTGAGTCGTATAAGTCTAGGACTAGAGCAAGCTTTGAACATCTTAAGTCCATTTTTCCATAAATACTGGGCCTCGAGAAAAGTCAAACAGTATGATTTCGTCGCTTGTCTAACCACTTTATATCATCAAGCACGTTGATTTTTTCCGAATATCAACACATCTTGGGTCCCACTTATATAAGATGACATGGCGGGATCATAATTATAACTCGACCAAACGGAACCAAACACTGGCAGCAGAGGATCCAGTCCTGGTTACTTCTTTTTCTTCACCTCTCCAACTCTGCAATTGAAACCCTAATCTCCCCAATTTTGGGAAATTTTAGCAACAGCAACCATTACAATGCATTCCCTGCGTTCAACTTTAGGTATTGCCCTTATATTCGGAGATTATTTACTTTACGTACCACGGTACCAGTTAAATCCTGCTGATAAACAAATGAAGTTTTGATCTTTTTTTGGTTCTGAGATAAAGCACAGAACGCAAAGAGGTAAATCTTTCTCTTAATCCCAGCTAGTAGGAATTCATTTTTTGTTACTTTTTACAGTTTCCCAGCAACCAAACAGACCCTTTAATTGTCTTCTTCCGGTTAAGTAAATGCTGCTGATGCTGATGAATTTTTGTGTCCAAGTTGAAAAAAGATGACAGCTTTTTGTTGCTTTCTTCCCTTTTTGGTTTCAGGATAGCTAAAGCTCGAGGCTTCAAATTCTTGTGGATTATGGGTTGTTTTGTTATCATCTGCTATTAGTTTTTGAATTATTTGTATGAATCGGGTTTTACTTCCTAAGCATGTTGCTGCTGTTGTTAAGTGTCAAAAGGATCCGTTTAAAGCGCTTGAAATGTTTAACTCGGTGAAAAAGGAAGATGGGTTTAAGCACACATTGCTAACTTACAAATGCATGGTTGAAAAACTCGGGTTTCATGGCGAGTTTGAAGCCATGGAGCGTGTGATTTCTGACATGAGGATGAATGTTGATAATAGCTTACTAGAAGGAGTGTACATTGGAGCCATGAGGAGTTATGGAAGGAAAGGAAAGGTTGAAGAAGCTGTTAATGTGTTTCAGCGGATGGAGTTTTATAATTGTGAGCCCTCGGTTCAATCTTATAATGCAATCATGAATGTGCTCGTTGAGTATGGATATTTCAATCAAGCGCATAAGGTGTATATGGGGATGAGAGATAATGGGATTGATCCAGATGTGTATACTTATACAATACGGATAAAGTCTTTCTGTAAGACTAGCAGGCCTCATGTTGCTTTGAGACTGCTTAATAACATGCCTACCCAGGGGTGTGAGTTCAATGCCGTTGCATATTGTACGGTCATAGGTGGATTTTATGAAGAGAATTACCGGATCGAGGCATATGAATTGTTTAAAGACATGCTCGGGCAAGGTGTATGTCCCAACGTTACCACATTTAACAAGCTTATTCATACATTATCCAAGAAGGGTCATGTCCAAGAAATCGAAAAACTTCTCAACAAGGTTCTGAAGAGGGGTGTGTCTCCTAATTTGTTTACATTAAATATTTTCATTCAAGGGCTTTGCAACAGCAGTTCACTAAATTTGGCTGTCAGAATGCTGGATGGTTTTATGATAGAAGGTTTAACTCCGGATGTTGTCACATATAATACATTGATCTTTGGCTTGTGTAAAAACTTTAAGGTTGAGGAAGCGGAGGGCTATATGCATAAAATGGTGAACAATGGATTTTGGCCTGATGCCTTTACCTACAACAGTATTATCGATGGATATTGCAAATTGGGTATGATACAAAAAGCAGATAAGATTCTCAGTGATGCCATTTTCAAGGGATTCATACCCGATGACTTCACATATTGCTCTTTGATTAAGGGTTTATGCCAGGATGGCCAGATTGACCGTGCCCTAGCTTTGTTCAATGAGGTATTAGGAAAAGGATTCAAGCCTAATATTGTTTTCTATAACACGTTGGTAAAAGGGTTGTCTCAGAATGGGCTTTTCTTGGAAGCTTTGCAACTGATGAATGAGATGTCAAGAAACAGTTGCAGTCCCGATATCTGGACTTACAACTTGGTTATAAACGGGTTGTGCAAGATGGGTTATGTATCTGATGCCAGTAAACTAATGAATGATGCTATTGCCAGAGGATGCCTTCCCGACATATTTACTTTCAATACGTTAATAGATGGTTACTGTAAACAGTTGAATCTGAATAGTGCTCTTGAGGTCATTAGTAGCATGTGGAGTCATGGTGTTACTCCTGATGTGATCACGTACAATACTGTGTTAAATGGCCTTTGCAAGGCTGCCAAATACGAGGATGTGATCCGTACTTTTCAAGCAATGATGGAGAAGGGGTGTGTACCTAACATTATTACATATAACATACTTGTAGAAAGCCTTTGCAAAGCCAGGAAAGTGACCGAGGCCTTGGACATGCTACGGGAAATAAGAGACAAGGGCTTGACTCCAGATATTGTTTGTTTTGGCACATTGATGAATGGTTTGTGTGGCAATGGGGATTTGGACGGAGCATATGACCTATTTACAAGAATGAAACATGAATATAATGTATCTCATACAACAGCGACATACAATATCATGATCAATGCTTTCTGTGAAAATCTTAACAGTAGCATAGCACAAAAACTATTTTGTGAGATGGGTGACAAAGGATGTGCCCCCGACTGTTTCACTTACCGTGTCATGATTGATGGTTTCTGTAAAGCAGGAAATGATGATCATGGGTACAATTTTCTCCTGGAGAAGATCGAGAAGGGGTTCATTCCATCACTGGTGACATTCGGAAGAGTGCTAAATTGTCTTTGTGTGAAGCATAGAGTTCAGGAGGCTGTTGGTATCGTCTACCTTATGGTGCAGAAAGGCATTGTTCCTGATGTTGTTAGTACAATCTTCGAGTCTGATAAGAAGGAAATAGCTGCACCCAAGATTGTTGTAGAAGATTTGTTGAAGAAGGGTCATATAACTTATTATGCCTATGAACTTCTATATGATGGAATTAGAGATAAAAAGGTAGTTAAGAAAACACAAAAGAGCTTCAAACGAGGTGTTTCCATGACTTCAAAACGAAGTCCTTGAGTGTTGCAAAAATACAGTTCTTCTGTTATGGAGCATGTACTTCTTCAGTCCTGATATGGCGGTAAGCGCAATGATGGCATAAACTTGAAGTAACAAACTTTTTTACCAGTGCTCTTGTAGCTTCTGAGGGTAATTCTCCTGAACTTTTGGTAATTGGTCATCTTTTTATTCTTACTGCTTAGATTTCATTCTGAATAGCTTGCTCAGCCTCTAAATCGCTGATCACTAAGTGGCTAACTGATGTTAATGTCTTTCGTTACTGAATCTTGGCTCCCTCGTGTTGTCTATTTAACAGCCTTATTTGTCACAGAATTTGGCCGATACTTCGAATATTGAAACTTGAGTATCATGTTTGGGGCCTTTCGGACTTCCAACAACAAATTTGGTATAGGGAAGGGCATGGATAACTAATCGTCCTTTGTAAAGATGGTGAACATTTGGTACTTCTTACCGAATCCCTATATATTTATTAAGTTATATATTTTGATGAAACTGAAAATGACTTGGCGTCAGTTATATTTCACAGAAACTGCCCCGAGAGTGCCAATTCTGGAAATTTTTAACTGCTTATAACGAAGATGATTCGAGTTAAATTTTTGTGCTCTGTTTAACTGGGGGAAGCATGCATGCAGGTTTGTATGTCACTTTGTTCTTATCATTCTGGTTCAAAATTATCTGATCTTTCTTCTTACTTAAAAGGAACAACGAAATTAAGATATTAATGTTTTTCTTTACTAAATCTTGGCTCCCTCCCTCGTGTTGTTCGTATGGACAGACTTATGATATAATCATGATTTGCACATGTTTTCAGGTTTTAACGTAGAACGTCTGAGTTATCTCGCATAACAAACTGGCGGCACGAGGCAAGGAAGATGTGAGCCCATGTGCCCCTTGGTTGTCCTTTGAACAAGCCGATTATGTAGGGCCTGCTCTGTTGTCTTATAGAGCGTCTTGTAGATACAGGAATATCCATGTTGGAGAATATATAGGTTGGTATGAATGTATTAGAGTTATAGAATACAGTTTGGTTTTACCAGACCTGTGCCATCGGAAATCCGAGAACGTAGTTTTGGGCATTCATCACGTTGCCGGACAGAAGAAAAGTTGAGAAAGATGTTAATACAATTTTGTAAACGTTATTTCCATCATAGAAGAAATGAATTTCTACGAGTAAAACTGTACAAAATCCATCTGTTGGCTGCTTACATATGAATTACGAGCTAGAAGTTGGAACGACGTTAAGATCAATCAATTTCGATGTGTTCTGTCCTGGGTTGAAGCTCCATACTGCCCCTTGAGCACCCATCTCTGTATAACAATGATGTCCGATAGGCGTTTACACGAACTCTGCAACATTGGCCACAGTTCTCTCGTTCTGCAGCCTCTTTCTTAGTTGATTTGTCATCAAGAAGAACTACATCCAAACAAAAAGAACAGTTCCAGGAAAATGATTCTTCCTTTTTTCATCGAAAATTGCATGTGCCTTGATCTTCTTCCCTCTGTATTTGTAATGATCGGTCAGTTAGGCTTTTCGGACCAGCTTGGCCTCAGATCTACGTAATCCCAAACTTATGCTCGCCTAGGCATGCTTGTTCAAATCTATGTGCAGTAAGTACAAGTGTCTGTCTGATTGCGAAGTGAGACTGTATTTCGCTACACAGAACCAACGAAAACATGGAATGAGAAGCGAAGTATGAGACATAGTAAAAAAAGTTCAAACCCCGTCTGTCACAGAGAAATCACCATCAGTCTGACTCACCAGATCATATTATACTTACAGCTCACACAAAGCTCCAACCAGGTTCCTTTCTCATATCAGTTCCCTTTATCTGGTTTCTAATCTTGATGACTTCTTCCCACTGGCCCACATCTGCATACATGTTTGAAATGGAAACATATGCCCCAGGATCCATTGATGGCTCCAACTCCATCATCTTATTAGCTACTAGCTTTCCAAGCTCCATATCGCCATGAACTTTACAAGCAGCGTGCAGTGTTCCCCATATTAAAGCATCGGGTTTAATAGGCATATTGTTAATGAATGTTGCAGCCTCCTTCAGTCTGCCTGATCGACTAAGAAGATCAACCATACAGGCATAGTGACGATCACCAGGCTTTAGGCCATAGTCTTGAACCATTGAACTAAAGTAGAAATAAGCTTCTTCAACCAATCCGTTATGACTACAGGCAGATAAAAGTGCAACAAAAGTCACTGAATCAGGCCTGATTCCTTGTTCCCTCAAAAGCTCGTATGCTTGTAAAGCCTCTGCGCCTTTCCCGTGTTGAGCATAGCTCACAATCATAGCTGTCCAACAAACTAGATCTGGCTTCTCAATTTGATCAAATGCTTTGAGGCAATCTTCAATGCTTGCACATTTTGAGTACATTGTCACTAGTGAACTGCCGACAGAAACATGTGAATTGAAGCCAACTTTCGTGATGTGGGCATGCAGTTGAGTCCCAATACTTAATCCATTCAAAAGTGCAATGGCCCCTAGAATGGAGGAAATTGTGAAGGAGTCAATAGTCAAATCTGCCATCAGCATTTCATGAAATAGCTGAAGCGCCTCTTCGACATACCCATTTTGGGCATACCCTGAAACCAAGGAGGAGCATGCAACCTCATCCTTTTGTGGAAGCATATCAAACACCCTCCTCGCCAATGATAGAGCACTACATTTTGAGTACATGGTCACAATTGCCCCACCAAGTACATCTTGTTCAACTCCCCTGCGAAGAGCGTGACAATGAATTTCCTTACCAGTCCGTAGGGAACGCAAGGCAGAACATGCGGTTAGAATTGCAGTTAAAGTCATCTGGTCGGGTACAATTTCTTCTAATGGTATCTCTCTATATAGCTGAAGGGCTTGATTTGCACAGCCATGTTCCACAAAACCAGCAATCATTGAGGCCCATGAAACATTGTCTTTGTCAGGAATTTGCTGAAAAACTTTGTAAGATTCCTCTAGACTATCACACTTCGAGTACATTGTGAAAAGAGAACTACCAACAGAAACATCAAATACCAACCCACTTTTAAGAGTGTAGCTGTGGATCTGTCTCCCTAGATTTAAACAGTCTACAATGCTCAAGACACTGGAAGTACAAAACTTATCTGGTCTCACACTTTCCTGTAACATTCTCAGGAACAATTCAATTGCCCTTCCAGAATTTTGATTCTGAGCAAAAGAAGATATTATTGCTGCCCATGTCCTGAGATCCTTTATATTTTCCATCTCTCTGAACACCATCTCGGATAGATCGACTGCTCCTATTTTTGAATATGCATTAATTAACGCTGACCCCACAACGGCAGCTGACAAGAATCCAGATTTCAAAATCAAAGAGTGAATTTGGGTTGCCTCTTCAGTCATGGATGGTCTAGTACATGCAGTAAGTACACTCGTAACAGTGTACTTATTCATTTGCTCTCCGACTTTTCTCATTTCTCCGAAAAATTTGAGGGCAGAAATATAATCGTCCTTGTGCACAAAACCGGAAATGATGGCAGTCCAAGAAACCACATTATGGGTTGGCATATGTTTGAATTCCTTGACAGCTTCATTCATTTCTCCACATTTGGCATATAAATCTACAATAGTAGTCCCAACAAAGACATCTTCTGCACCGTGTTTAATCACCAACCCTTGCACTTCCTTCCCGACTTCAATTTCTTCAAGCGCAGCACAAGCGGTTAAAACACTAGAAAATGTAAAACTATTTGGCAACAGGAATCCACGGAACATTTTCCGAAAAAGATGCAAAGCAACCCTATTCTCTCCATTTCTCACAGCCCCAGAGATAATAGCATTCCAACTCACAACATTCTGACATGAAACATCATGAAAAACCCTCAAAGCATCTTCAAAGCTGCAATTTTTCGCAAACAAGTCTATCATTCCGGACTGAACATAACCATTCGGAAAGAACCCATTTTTAATTGCAAGCGAATAAACCTGCTTCCCAAAAATAGGAGCTTGCAAGGCAGTGCAAGCCGAAAGAACACTCCCATAGGCAAACTCATCGGGCCCAAAACTCGAAGTGTGCATCCTACAAAACATTTCCCATCCCATCTTGAATAACGAAATGTGGTTATAACCCGAAATCATGATATTCCACGAAAAAAAATTTCGGTCAGCAATTAAATCAAACAGCTTGAGTGCATCTACCATGGCAGCGGACTTACAATACAAATCAAGCAATGAATTTGAGAGGAAGATATCGGATTGAAGCAAACCGGTTGTGGTCAAATGGGTGTGTACGATTTTAGTGATTCTAACGGTACACTGTCTTGATTTTGCATAATCATTGAAGAACTGAAAAGGGTCAAATCGACTGGGAATTTGGTCGTTTTCGATGGGGAAAAAAGATGGGTTTTCCGCAACGGCAAGCGAAGATAGAAACTTGAGTTGAAAGAGTGAGATTCTGGAGGGGATTTTTGGATTGAGGAGAGAATTCATTTGGGTTCGTGAAGCGGAAAAGGAGAGCATAATGATTTTGTCACAGATCATTTTGAATAAACGCGGGAACGTATGAACATGTAATAACCTAACACTCGGTGGCCACATATATTTATTCTTTAATTGCAATTCTCTGATAAATCAAACAAGTCAAGATGGCCGAGTTGGTCTAAGGCGCCAGTTTCAGGTACTGGTCCGAAAGGGCATGGGTTCGAATCCCATTCTTGACAAATTAATTTTTTTTCTTTTTTAAATTTTTCTCGGTTTCGCAGAGTTCACACAAACCATCCATTCTTGACAAATTAATTTTAGGAAAATTAACGAAAATGACTTGAAAACTTTGAGTTTTAACGATAAGGACAAAATAAAAAGTAAATTGAATAGTACCAAGATTGACTTTTTAGTGTAAAAATGTACCGGAAGCTTTTCGTTAAAGTTCCCATTAATATTTTTCTCTTCGTAAAACCTATCTTCGCCCCCACAACGGTACTGCAAATCGTTGAAAATGACAACGGCTTCTTGGAGGAAAGAAAGAATTGCCCTTTCTCCGCTCAAAGAGCTTATTGCCGTTGTTCAGGAACCTGAAGACTTTCTGAACATTATCTTTTGGAAAACTTGACATCAAAGGTGCAGCTACTAATATTTTGTTAGTTATGACCAAGAAAATTGTATCAGCAATTGTTTTCCTTCCTGTCGACTGAGGCCCCTCTGCTTTCGAAACGTTGAAAACTTGGGTGCAATAATCTTTGTTTAGGCAGACTTGTCGAGCAAGTTAAGTAAATGGTTTAAACTAATCTTCTTTCCCAAGCAAAAATGGTCAAATTTCAAAGAATATGCCTTCGTTTCTCCAAAAGCATATCTGAGGTTATTTGTTTGACTGTTGAATACAGAAAATCAGGCAAAAACATGACGAAAGATGGATGAAAAATTATATATAAAAGGCTAATCTGATCTTGAAGAAGAACAGTGACGAACGGATCTTCAAGGGCCTTTTGGGCTTGATCTTGAAGAACGGTGGCTTGTTGATCCAAGGGCCGTTGGGGCTTGATCTTGGAAGAACGATGAACGAAGAACGAAGAACACTTTCTTCCAAGGGCCGTCGGGGCTTGATCTTGAATTGGTGAATGATTGTTGATCCAAAGGGCCGTTGGGGCTTGATCTTGGAAGAACGATGAACGAAGAACGAAGAACGAAGAACACTTTCTTCAAGGGCCGTCGGGGCTTGATCTTGAATTGGTGGATGTTTGTTGATCCAAAGGGCCGTTTGGGCTTGATCTTAGGATGAACGATGAACGAAGAACGAAGAACACTTTCTTTAAAGGCCGTCGGGGCTTGATCTTGAATTGGTGGATGATTGTTGATCCAAAGGGCCGTTGGGGCTTGATCTTGGAAGAACGAAGAACGAAGAACGAAGAAGGCTTTCTTGATTCTTCGGGAACCTGGATGTTTGAGAGCTTCGGAGTTTCAGAGCTTCAGAGCTTCAAGGTGTAATATGAATTGGTTCCCCTAAATGAATGAATTAACCTTCTATTTATAGAAATTTCCAAGGCCTAATTTTGAATATAATATTTCAGATGAAATAAGTCGTTTCTGCCAGGTGTTGACACGTGTCCTGTTTGATGACTTTTCCAACTTATTTCGATTTTTTGTTTAGACACACGCTACGTGTAAAATTTATGTAATACATGAGCGTTGAAACTTTGATTTATTGGTCAACATTTATTTACCGAAATTTCGATGTCTACAGCATCATTGGTTCAAATTTTGACAATTGGTTCAATGGAAGCAAGGGAAATCATGAATGCTGGAAAAAACTTATAAATCAAGAGGGATTATAATGCAGATGGAGTGATTGATGGTTGGAAACACTTGTTAAATCGTGAAAAATTCGTGGCTTTTACAATTTTCTTAGGGTTTTCTTTTGGCTTGAATCTGTTGTGGTTTTGAATCTTTTGACATAATATTGAATAAGAATATCCAAAGGAATTAGGTGAGCAAATTTAACGTTCGGCGGGAGGGAAGCCAACGGCACCCTATGAAAAAGTGAACAAACTTGTATCTCATTTGGTGCCGACTGGTATTTCTAAAACTTTTGCGGGCACTAGCGATATGTTCAAATCTCTCATTTGGGGTCAGCATCTTCCTCTCAATTTGTACAACAAACCCATGGCGCTCTCCGCAGCGTAGCATTCTACACATCTTCACAGCCATCCGTGCTCTTTTGTTCTGAACCCGGAAACCAAATTTCTCTCAGAGTGCTTGCTTCCAGAAAACCCTAACAGTTAGGGCTTCAACCACCCTGGAGAACTACTCCAAGCTCCCTGTGGGTGAGAAATCTTCACTCCTATCAAAGGTCAGTTATTGAAAATTTGAATTGTACTTTTTCTTTGTTATTACTTTGTCAATTTGCACATGGGTTTGAAACCAATACAAAGCTTTACTTTTGAACTAACAGTCTTTTGATATCAACCAGAATATGATTTTGTGGTATTTGGAGGAGGGCATGCAGCTACTTTAACTATTCGTGCTTTAAAACGTGGTGCTGTGAAACCTAAAGCCATTGCCGCTGTTGCACTCACCTGGGTTGGTCCCCTTCCTATTGTTTTTGGTCGAGATTCTAGCATGCAAACTAGGTATTCTATCTGAAAACCTCATATATAGGTGGAATGGTTCTTGTTCTTGAGACTTGAGGGGTAATAAATTGTTGGATAGTGGCCAAATTAGTGGCCAAGTGGCCAAAAGCATATAATAAAAAATGAAGGACATAATGATGTGGGAACATCATTATGAGGAGACCAATGATGATATTTGTTGAAAAGAAAAAGAAAGGTCATGATGATGTTTGTAAATGAATGATTATTCCTTTACTTTGGATTTTTTTATTGAATGCTTTTGTATGGATAAAGGTTGCAACCGAATATGGGAGATGAAGGGGGAGTTGCATCAGAGGAGAGCCATACCAGGGAGAGCGTTCGGCTTTCCCATTTGAAACAGTGTTGCTCTTTTCCATTTGTTTGTAATCCCCTTTTGTTAGTAATCCCTCAATCAAAGATGTTGCTGCTACATGTTGTGTAGCTTTTGGGAGATATGGTATTTGATATGTATCCATCTTCTCCAATTTGTTCTTTGTGAGAGTGAGAGCTATTGGGTGTATGTGGGATTTGGGTTTGAAAGTTAAAACTCTATTTGTAATCTCCATTTGAATTAATGAAATTTTCTCGCCGTCTCGGAACTGGACGTAGGCTTACGCCGAACCAGTATAAATCCTTGTGTCATTTGGATTATTTGTCTTATCATATTTTGCCGTTGTTTCTTATTGGTTTCATATTTGACGCTTCCGCACAACAAATGGTATCAGAGCTCCGGGTTTCGACTTGGAGGCTTTGTACTAGTATGTCTATGAAATCTTCGAATGACGGTGAAATATGTTTTTTTGGAAAAATTCGACTGAAGGAATGACTTTGGCATTTGGTCAATTGGAAATGCAGAGTTTGGCTGCAAAATGCGTGGCGTTGAAGAAGGATAGTAAATGACTATGCTGCAGTCACTGAGCTCGCAGATTGGAGAATGGTTTCGGAAACAGCGTGTCTGCTGCAATGTTGTCGTCGATGTTGTTGAAGTGTTGGTGTTCGAAGGCTGCAGGTGTAGTGTACTGTTTTGGTAGATTCTCCGTTGGTCATCGCTGCATCGGTGATATTTGTGGGCTGTTGTCGATGAGTTGAGTGGGAAGAAGAAAAAGTAGAAGCTGTTGAGAATTGAAAAGAAAATGTTGGTTCCTTTTCTTTCGGCATTTGTTTTGGCAGAAGGACATCATGATGACAAATGATGTTGTTGGCTGAAAAAAAAAAAAGGTTAAGTTTTCTTCTCTTTGGCATTTTTTCAACGGTAGAGAAGTTTTTCTTCACTCCCACTAGTTGCCTTTGGAGCAAGTTGATGGAAACATTGGAGGAGTTTGTGAGGGCCAATTTGTTGAGTTCTGCAAGTTTGGATAGTATGACACCACACTATTTTGGAGACACCACATGCACTGCAGAACATTTGTGTGGAACCCTCTTGTAGAAGGCAAGTTATATGCTTTCTAACTTTGTTTGGTCTATGGACATTTGGTTGGATTTGTTTGCCACTGCTATTTGGTCTGTTGGTCACCATCATCTGCAATTAGTTTTCTTGAAGACTCCAGTTGAGGTATGGTTTTGGATCTCCTGCTGATTATTTGAATTTGAAATTTTTGGTTGTCCTGTTGGTGCTCATGTGATGATGGTAAACTTGAGTGAAGGGCATAATATTGATATTTATAGGATCTGAATTTGGGTGAAAGGTTTTGTATGTGGTATGTTAAACCTGCCAAATTTTGTAATCAGTTTTGACTTGGAGAATGTGCCATGCTATGTGAATGAGTCTATTGGTGCAGTTTAAGACCATGGTGTTTGTGAGCAGGTGGAGTTCGTTGTGTGTCCAACTTTGGTATGGTGTGCTTGATCTTTTGTTGGTGATATTGAAGAATTTCAGTTCTTCGTTTGAATCACCTTTTGTTTTGATCAAGGCACTTATGGTTTGCAAATTTGGAAAAGACGGTAGAGAAATGGTCTACTTTTGTTGGCTTTGGTACAATTTGAGTCGAGGTGGAGATCATTATGAGTACCGAAAGTTTGGGGAATTTGATTTAGTTCCTGTTGTCTTTAGTTTGTACTTTGGGTGCTTATGGTGATTGTTGATTCGATTCTCTGTGATGTTTTCGGAATTTGGCCAAGGTGGAGATTGTTGGATAGTGGCCAAATTAGTGGCCAAGTGGCCAAAAGCATATAATAAAAAATGAAGGACATAATGATGTGGGAACATCATTATGAGGAGACCAATGATGATGTTTGTTGAAAAGAAAAAGAAAGGTCATGATGATGTTTGTAAATATTTGATTATTCCTTTACTTTGGATTTTTTTATTGAATGCTTTTGTATGGATAAAGGTTGCAGCCGAATATGGGAGATGAAGGGGGAGTTGCATCAGAGGAGAGCCATACCAGGGAGAGCGTTCGGCTCTCCCATTTGAAACAGTGTTGCTCATTTC